ACATATATAATACAATATAATACAAACATGTACAAACTCACATATATAATACAATATAATACAAACATGTACAAACACATATATATAATACAATATAATACAAACATGTACAAACACACATACATAATACAATATAATACAAACATTTACAAACACATATATATAATACAATATAATACAAACATTTACAAACACACATATATAATACAATATAATACAATATAATACAAACACATATATATAATACAATATAATACAAACATGTACAAACACACATACATAACAATATAATACAAACATTTATAAACACACATATATAATACAATATAATACAAACATGTACAAACACACATACATAATACAATATAATACAATATAATACAAACACATATATATAATACAATATAATACAAACATGTACAAACACACATACATAATACAATATAATACAAACATTTATAAACACACATACATAATACAATATAATACAAACATGTACAAACACATATATATAATACAATATAATACAAACATTTACAAACACACATATATAATACAATATAATACAATATAATACAAACACATATATATAATACAATATAATACAAACATGTACAAACACACATACATAACAATATAATACAAACATTTATAAACACACATATATAATACAATATAATACAAACATGTACAAACTCACAAATCCAAAGCTAAACACTCCAGTTTACCGTTACACACATAATTGTAAATATACACAAAATAAATATGTAAACACACATATACAATTCACATATACTTATTCATGTTTATAATTACTAAGTAGGTCTACTTCATTATTGTTAAATGATGGTATTGGTGGGTTGAAGCAACGTGCAAGCAGACATAAACTAAGACTAAAATAAACATAAACTATGAGGAGCCTGAATTGAGATAAGCACAGATGATTGGTCAATAGAGAATAAATAGTCTGATGCTCAAGAACGGTGATGTACCACAATATTGTCAAGAGGCTTATCACAATTCTTACACATGACATTCTTAAAATATGGACACACTTGTACAACATGCATAATAATAATATATTCTTAAAAGCATTAACATCATAAAACACATATAAAAGCCAACCTTGGACACAAGCCAGTTCTCTAATTCCAAGTAAAAACATGTTGTTTATACAAAAAAATACAAGCTCATCTGGTGTTTTGACCAGCCTGATTGTTTCACAAAACCTAGAATACAGACCTCAAATATCTCATCATTCTCCATATAGCCTACCAGTTCCATTGAATGCCTTCTTATCCTGCAAACTTACAGTCAAAATGTTTTTGAGATAGTAGTGTCATAATCTGGTCAAATTTTACTTAGAAGTTACAGGACTGTGCACAGTGGATGGGGATTTGAATGGTGAAAATAAAGGCTACAAATAGACATCATCAATCCAGACCTAAAATGTAGTCTTTTATATTCCAGACCTTTAAAATATTGTCTCCATCATTCCAGACGTTTTAATTAGGTCTTTTTTTAGTCTCAATCAACTGAGACCTTGAGCAGTTAATTAGCCTAATTCAATTTGGAAAACCATGTTTTAACTTTTAACGTTATTTTATAGATTGAAAAACAAGTACGATTTGCGTCTTGTTTGTCGAGACATCTAGAGTCAATGTAGCGTTCAATTCTCAAACAAAACTCTCGGCATCGTAAAAATAGATTAGATTTCTTGACAGATTAGTTCACTCTGTGGCTTAATTTATATCGCGGTTGATACGAAGACTTGGAAAGAGCCGACCTTCGTATGACATTGAGTAATATTCGCGGATAAAAATTTGAACAATAAAATTGTGGTTATAGTCTCAAAGGGTTTGAGTCGCGTGATAAACTTTTTATTTAACACAAGATTGGTTTTAGCGTGCTCCTTGTCGGATTTCGATTGATTATTTATCGTATTTTATGACGTCACATGTAACCCAGAGCAATTCAAATTTTGCTACTTTATTTTAAACTGTCGGACTAAAGTTTCTCTGTTATTTTTTTTTGGACTTCGAGTCGATTTAGATTCTTTTTAAAGTTTTAACTACAAACCAAAGGCACATAAGACAGATGGTTTTTGGTTTCAATTCGATTATTTTTAATTACAATGATTTTTGTTCTAAATGCAGATAAGAAGGATGGATTTTGGTCTGGTATAATTAGTCGTTAGTCTTCTATTGAAATTTCTTCTATATTCTGAATGACTCAAAGTTCACTTTTAATTTAAGATGAAGGAATTTTTGAATTTGTAAAAAAAATGGTAGAGACAAATTTCTGTTTTGATTCCTTACGGTCTTGAAAAGTTCTAATATTTTCAGTTTAGTCCTAATGGTCTTTCAATAAGTTTTGAATGTGTGGGTGGAGGGATCAACCTCTATGAAAAACAGGAGATGTGTAAATTTCCAGAGTAAGACGATGGTCAAAAATACAACCCTCTCTGAGAGTGAGGAACCCTTATAAAACATTATATGTATAAGAAAAGTGGGACCAAATCACCCTTTTGGGGTGGTTCCAACAGCTCTCTACTACTACTCGTAGACTATCAGCTCTACCCCTCGAGATTAACAGCCTCCTCTTCAACCCCTAGACTATCAGCTCTACCCCTCGAGATTAACAGCCCCCTCTACAACCCCTAGACTATCAGCTCTACCCCTCGAGATTATCAGCCCCCTTCAACCCCTAGACTATCAGCTCTACCCCTCGAGATTAACAGCCCCCTCTACAACCTCTAGACTATCAGCTCTACCCCTCGAGATTAACAGCCCCCTTCAACACCTAGACTATCAGCTCTACCCCTCGAGATTAACAGCCCCCTTCAACACCTAGACTATCAGCTCTACCCCTCGAGATTAACAGCCCCCTTCAACACCTAGACTATCAGCTCTACCCCTCGAGATTAACAGCCCCCTTCAACACCTAGACTATCAGCTCTACCCCTCGAGATTAACAGCCCCCTTCAACACCTAGACTATGAGCTCTACCCCTCGAGATTAACAGCCCCCTTCAACACCTAGACTATCAGCTCTACCCCAAGAGATTAACAACAACGACTTGTATTTGTTTTATCATGCCTTGACTTTGTACTTCAAAGATAAACAGAATCACTGTTCTCTCCATTGACAGTAGATTGATGGGATTAAAACAATAAAATAGAACAGAACAGCTAATTTTACGGTCTGCTTACTCTTATTTTCCTTTAATCAAAGAAACCTGGTCAAATCTAGATGTTATTTGAAATTACTAACAAAATTCTCTTTTTCTTTCAACTTTGACTTGCAATACTTCAGAATTTCCAGCAGAAATTGCATAAAATCCATACATTTTAAAAAAAAAAAAAATTTGCTGTCATATTTTATTCTTCATTACTTTGATAAAGTTGATAACTGTCAATCAAGAATAAAAACATGAGGTCAGGAGGTCAGACTTGTCACGGAATATTGATTTTGTTTTGGACGGAAATTAAGAGAATATATTTTAAATTAAGTCTCTGTCAGTTATCTAGTGAGAAGGATCATTCAGGTCACGTTTAGATTTTATAATTTTTTTCTTTCGGTCCAGAAGTGTTGCTGAATGTTACCAGTTACGAAGACTTATGCAATAATTTGGCCTGATTTGCATTAAATCATTTGCATTTAATTTATTTGAAATGTTTTTGATTGGTGAAAACTTGTGGTACAGTCAAGCAGACGTGAGCACCACTGGCCCAAAGCTGTCTTGAAATGAACAGAAAACAAAGGTATAAAAATCGGCCAGGACAGCAGCAATAGTCTTCTCTATTTCAAACTGTAGAAGAATCTGTAACATGATAAGGGTAATCCAGTTGAAAAATCCAAAGGTATTATCTGAATCTATGCTGAGATTAGGCCAAGGACCCTCAGGTTAGTAAGCCGGCGTTAGTCTCACTGAGAAAACTCAACCCTCCATAGGATAAAATCAAGCCAAAGAAAAACAAATGAAATGAAATGCACCAATATCTTGCTGGAGAAGGATAAAGGACATTTTCATAATTACATGAAATATATGATATTGCTTTCTATTATTGAAGATTAAGATATATGATAGAGGTATGATAAGATGAAAAGAAACGGACTGAAGTTTATTGACGTGGTAAATCACCAACTCCGTGAGATTCTCCGAGTAGCTCTCGATACAATTAAATACATTTCTCTCCATTTCCTCACCGAGTCTGAGATGTGATAAAATCATGAAATGATACTCGTAAAATATTTGTTGTAGAAATAAAATTGTTTTCAGTTTACGTGGAGTATAAAGCGAGATGATATTGCTGGCGAGAGATTAGCGAAGAGGATGATGTGATGTTTTTATCAAGTAATGGAGGTTTATTACCCACTAATGAGGTGGAAAATTAACTCAGCGTTTTGAACTCTACATCATAGACTTCAATATGATTGCAGAGGTTATTCGTTTCAGTAAGTTGGGTACTAGGTCTACTGACCTAAGAGGTGCATAGTTAAAAGGGGATTTATTTCTCACTAATGAAGCAGAAAATTAACTTATTGTTTTTAAACTCTACATCATAGGCTTCAATATGGTAACGAAGTTGATGTGGTTCAGTTAGAAACGTGCTTGTCCCTGTTGACCTAAGGGGTGCACAGGTCCAGAGGATATATTACTAACATGGATGTCAGAGTTGATGTCAGAGTGGATGTCAGAGTTGATGTCAGAGTTGGGTACAGCGGACATGTTTCAATTGCCCACTGACCTAGGGGTAAAATTCTTGTTCGGGTTCATAGGAGTTTTTTTGTTCACTAATGTAGTGGAGAATTGACTTTCTTATATATTATTTATGGTATATTCTTGCTTGGGTTGCAGATCTCAGTGCTCCCTGGATGATCTGGTGTGTGCAATCCAAGAAAAAGTTAAGATTAGTGGGTTTTATGTATATTATTGCTTACGAACTAGGCTTGTCTTTCAGATGATAATTGTTGCAGTCATCTGACCCACTGATCTGGTGACTCTTTACTGAGGTTAACTGAATCATTATTGTATTTCAATTCAGACATGGCAGACAAATCATTGTTATATTTTACAACATGCGTGTATTAAGAAAACAGTTAGGGAATTACGCAACATAGAACCTGTACCCTTCCAAATCACAATCAATTTAGACCTTGATTGAAAACAGAGTTGGTTTTAGACGTTATTTATCAACTTATCCCCGCATGAATTGGAATGAAAAGTTACAAGTTCCGCGATTATTGAAAATCTTTCCGATGTAACTGACGCCCATGTCAAGGATAGAGACTTGTAATACTCTGAGGAATTCTAAATAAAACCTTACAAATTCCTTTATAATGAGAAAAAACTTTGAAGATAAATTAGTGTTTAATACGATTCTAAAAGATAATTTTTTACGTTTAACAAAAAAGCTTTTAAAGATCATTTTGTCTTAACATGCTCTTTATCTCTTTGAATCCTGGGTGTAAATGAAATATAACGTCATATACCCTGAACTCCAAGTAATAAAAGTAAAAGCATATGACGTTAATATTGTCTGACGTCACTTAGTAACGGCTGGTATAACGGGTATATATTGCGTTAGTGAGTGACAGGTAAACCAGCCTCTACTGTTGAAAGGGTTCAAACTTTTCATGACATTGTGACCTTCAGAGCAGAAGTATGAATTTATCTCACATAATTTTACATCCCATATACGTTGACATCCCATATACGTTGACATCCCATATAAATTGACATCCTATATAAATTGACATTCTATATAAGTTGACATCCCCATGCTATGCAGACAAGCTTAAAATCTATAGCATTTGGTATCCTACCACTTTCTGAATGTCATCTTTCAGAATCAAAATGGCTTTCTGTGTTGTAGAAAACCTTAACCCTACCTATGCAGAGAGCCCTCTCATGTAATCGAAGTGGCTTTGTGTGTGCTACAGAACAGTGTGAACATGCCTTTAGATGCAGACAAACTTATAGATTTATATGGCATTGTGAGATTAAAAGTTTGAAATTATACAATACAAGGTAGACAAACTGAACTTTTTAACATTGCCCTGAGTAGATAACCCATTCCTATCAAATAAACTTTCAAAGTGAGAATATTTCACAATGTCTATCCGTCTAACGAAAAACATTTCACAATGTTGTTTCGCATTGAAATATCAAATGATTTTTAAAACGCTTCGAGACAGAATTAACCTCTCTTTCAGCTTCGATAACGCAATTACCAAGGTCGTTTACCATTTCACCAAGGTCAATTGAGTTTCTGCGAGTCTGCAATAGCCAGAAGGGAGAATGTCCGTATAGCGTGAGATGAATTCAGAATTAACTAGACGGAAAGTAGATGAGCTATAGTTAGATTGGTTGTAATAGATGAGGTGGAGGTCTGGATAATGTTGACTTCCATTCTTTAAGAGACTGGTCGGTCTAGACAATCATCATTAAATGGAAGCGTGACTGTTACTTCTTGACTTTATTTGTTTCAAATTCTCCTTTAAATAAGTCAGGGTGTGTCTTAAAGGGATACTGTGTCTTAATAATTGAATTACCAGCTGATGAAGGTCAAATGTCTAAAGGGATGATGAAGGTCAAATTCAATGTCAATTTTAAAGGGATTTAGTAGTCTAAATTACTGTTACCAGATGATAGAGCTCTATTTCAAATCACATATCTTGTGTGCTTGCAACAATGGTAGTTTACAGTGATTAGTTCCGTAACTAACGTAGAGGCAGAGGAGGCAATATCTCTGCCTGAATTATTGCCCTTGATAACTTAAACTAATATACAACTCCAGGCCATGTATTTTCGAAATGATCTAAGTGCTAGGATGTCCTAGAAACAATGTTAGAAGTAAAGAACCTAAGACATCCTTCAAGAATCGTTTCAAGAATACACAGCTAGGTGATCAGAATGGTTCAATCTTAGCATTGTTTATCACGTATCATTTCTAAATTGAGTTGACAAATCGTAACACCAAAATATATCTAATTGTTCACTCATCGTCACTTTCTATTAATACAATCAGATACAGAAAACCTTACTTTATTTGATTTGAAAGCACTAGTTTTGAGGTCTGGTTTTCTTAATCATTTTTCAATATCTAACCGAGAAACCCACTTTTCTTTTGAACCAGACGACATTTTCGTTTGAAACTTAATTTACATAATTTAAAGCCTGAATTTAGTCTTGTGACGTGATTATCAAGCACTTTCCAATTCTAAAGACTTAATTAATGATTGGTAGCTGTAGTCTCCGTTATTAAGACGTAAATTGACTTTAGTTTCTGCCACTGGCTCAGATGTTTGTCCAAGTCGTAAAAACAATCGAGGGTTGAAGCCGGTTAAGACAGTAACAAGCTTAATTAACGAACTCATCCAAAATGGCTGCCACGTCTGCTTCCTGCCTTAAGGCTCCCCGTTCCACAGGAAATGGAGATTGCCAATTTCTGAAAGACGTGAATGTCTAAAATCGTTTACTTTTCATTAACGTGACCTCTTACCCCCCCTGGACTTGTTTATCTTCACAGATAACCAAATAACTGATATTAAGTGATTCTATAAACATGGAGTAAAAGTCACTCCGCAGCGTTTTTCAGGATATCTGCCTATTGATCTATTGTAGAATCATTTCACAGTCTAGAATTACCGTAAAAGGA